TAAACTCCTACACTAATAACCTTTTTAAAATTTTTACCTAAAAATCAAAGATACTGTAATCTCTTATATAAACATTTTTCCCTTTAAAAAATATGGTAATATTACTTAAATTCACAATTTTGAAGTTGAAAAGCTCAAAAACTAAAAATTATCATAACTTAACCCGTAGGAACCTGACAATTAAAAACGTTACTAAATCGCAAATACATCAAAAACAAAAGCCGGTACCTAACATTTTATGATATGATCAAATTAAAGTAAATCCAAATAGTAAAAATAAAAATTTTGTGAGTTAAACAGTTCTTAAAAGAAAAATCTAATTAACGATACGTATGTTATATAGATRTTACATTTGAAAAAAAATTGTTTTTATTTTTTTCCATTATAACATGCATAATTGTGTATACCGTTTATTTATGATTTTCTTTTCAACACTGTTTAAATTGTTATACTATAACTTTTAATTGACAGATTCCTACGGATGATTTAGATTTTGAGTGTCCTTCGGTGCAGATGCTTTCATTTGTTTTGACGTCTTTAGCAAATAACTAGCTGAACCCGTGCATTTCGTAGCCCGTTAAAAATCCTACCTCTTATATTATGTCTCAACTCTCAAAATGTGTGTTACAGTTTTCATTTTACTATCAAATTTATATTTATTTTAATTTAACCACAAACAAAGTATAAAATAAACTTTTTTTTATCCAATGTTCAATGTTGATGAAGAGGGCACAACTGCCTAGATGCTTCCCTGTTCCTCTAAATTGCACCTCTGTAGCCAATGCCCATTGTTGTCGGGCTTATTATTAATAAAATCAAAATAAATAAATATAATGTAGTGATCTTAAATATTATTACTATGTATTTATGTTTTTATATTTGTGTGATTGCCGTGTACGAAAACGGAGACCATTTTTAATTATTTTAATATCTTGTAATTGTAATAGCAGTTAGTCTTTCTGTCACCATCCGCCGAGTTCAGACCGTGCAATATGATGTAATATAGATATTATCTTTAAATGCTGTCATTGTTTTTTTTTCTAAATTAACATCCTGGCGATCGAATGATAAATGTAACCACCATATATCACCAAGTTAACAAATCTTAATCGAATATCCGGAATATCTCAATGTTTTTCTTATGTACCAAATATTAAATATGCCACAGAACCTACTATGATGGGAATTAATTTAATATTCCTTTTTAAATAAAAACTAAATTTAAAAATAATATTAATAATAATATACAACAATTTCACTGTTATGACAACAATGTAAATGTATATACCAAGCAGTGCCGAAGACGACGTAGGGGTAGTGGGGGTTGTAAGATGTGTGAGTGCACACGGCAAGCAACGCGCATCGCTATATGTAACAATAGCGCAAACTTTATCCTTCCAATAACTATTTAAATAATTAATTTTTTGGACTTTTCTCATTAGATGGCTCATCACACATCAAATACTTGCGTTAAAAAAAAAAAAAAATCATGAAAATCGGCCCGGTAGAACTTCAGATATAACTGTCATAAAAAACCGCCTCACGTTTTAATAATATAATAGATAATATTCCAATGATTATATTATCAATATCTAGTGTAATAATATTTTATTTTTATTCGGTTTGACTTATCTCATCATTTTGCAAATTTACCGGTTTTTTGTTTGTTTGATGTTTTTGGTTTTGTGATGTTTTTAACAGGTACGGATGGTTTAAGTCTAGCGGATTCTTTAGTACCAATGTTTTTATTTATTTCGTCATTTTTAATGACACTATTATTATTATCATCAACGGTATGGCAGTCATTTTTTTGATTTTTATTCTCCACCTCAGCGCATAAATCGATCGATCGAAATTCAAAACATGATTTATCGTCGCTGCAGTCTGCTACTGTTGTAATTAGATTTTGTTTAGTGGAAATATCCACTGGACGACTAGTCATAGATTGTGTTGAATTGTTTTGAACTTGAGTTWCAGATAGACATTTAACAGGCACCTCATTGTGGCAGATATCCGCCGGGACGACAGGATGTTGTGGCGGTTCCCCGCAATCATTTTTTACCTGCAGCTCTATAATATTACACGACAACTTTGAACAGCTCACTTCACATGGATCAATTGCCGAATACCTTATAAAACCAATGGTTATACCATCTTGTACCACGGCCAAACGATCATTTGGCGATTTAACTTCTAAAGGACTTTTATCAGGTATTGCGGTGGTATTCACTTCAGGAATGACATTTTCTTGCGACAGTTTCTCGTTTATGTTTATAATCGGTTCTTTGTTAAACGACGACTTTGAAGCACATGCCATTCCACTGTGAGAGTTTGCAACTGCAGTTGTACAAGCTGATTTATTTGTGGTAGAAGAATCATTCGGTGATTCATTCTGACTTGGATATGTGTTTATAAGATGGTCCAACCTCTTGATAATACAAGAAAGTTTACCGTGTATCGTATCGCTAGATTTACGTCGTTCCCAATGTTTTGATGGACACAATTTCTCAACTGTCTTACGTTGTTTCTTGCAGAAGTAGGGTTTAATATTTTTAATGGAACTCGTTACTTTTTCGGATTTACAACAAAAATTACAACTGATCGATTCAAGACTTTCCGATAATTTTTCACTGCAACTTTGAATATTGCAGCAATCATATTCTTGCTGGATTTTATTACATGTATTAGTGTTCGTATCCGATTGTTTTTTAGTCGCACATTTCGAAGTTGAAACGTTATTCTTACTATGACGAATTTTCATTACATTTTTAAAGAATCCAAATATACCATGCATATATTTTAAAAATGAATATATAAATAAAAAAATATATAAAGTGCAATTCATCTCTTTGCAGTTACTGTTTGTTAATGAATCAATGTCTTCAAAAATTTTGTGAATTTCTAAAATTATCACTTATCAATAGTTAAAAAATAATTTTAATTTTGATTGTATATTATATTAAATTTGTTTAGTTAGTTCAATTACTTTTGCTTGGYAATGTTTATCTACATAGAAACTACATTGTTGATCTCGGTATTTAAGTAGACTAGTAGACTGTATAGTTTTTTTTAAGTTAAGAGGCCTTATGCAGATTTTTAAAATTGTCCGCAATTTCATTAGAATTTGAAAATTAAAGTTATATATTATTTTAATTATATCACTTTTCTATTAATCTATACTTATTGGAAACTTATTTAACGGTACAGGATGTTGATAAGTATATTATAATATATTTTGTATGTTTATTCTTCATGATTATAATATATCAACAGAAATGACTTTACAGAAAAAAATGCTCAGGTCTTGTAGAATGGTTGGATTTTTATAACAAATTTTTATATACATATAAAAGAAGAAGACTTCTATCAGGCCACATTGAACTCCAATCTTTATTTTATTTCAAATAATAGTATAAAATAATTTGTAAAAAAAGTTTGAAAGTTTAAACTGTCTTACTTTTGAAAACATATTATCATAGGCGAACCTAAGGGTCAGGCTATAGGTATTCAGGAAATGGCCTGACCTCTAATCAAAAACTTATTTTGTTATTAGAAATTTTTTTTTTTTATATACCAATTTATTGTTTGGCCTTTCCAAATATAATAGTCTAGTTATGCTTATATAATTTAAGATTTAAGTATTGAAAAACAGAATCCAGCATATAGAATAGTATAATATATTAATATATATAATAAATAATCGAATTTGGTTGATACTATATAGATTATTATTTTTGAAAACAACCTCGTTCAAAGGCAATATTTTACACACCAATCCACATGACGCATTCAAAATTTTCAATTTCAGCAAAATATTTGTATTTTCATTTTAAATAAAATATCATCTACACACTTATAAAATTACATATTAAATATTCGATAGACAGTAAATAAACACTATGTCATTATATAAACACCAATCCAAATAATTTAACACCCAAATAACAATTACTCGTATTAATGATTATAATTATTTAATAATAATAATTTATATTTATACGATATTAATAATAATAATAATAATATCAACCATTATATTAGGTAGTGAGATTACAGAGATTTTATTGATGTCAGAAAAATTTAAGCAAACCTGACTAGAAAAATGCCACCCTTAAAAAGGTACCATTTGGGATGTTTGCTCTTCTCCCCTATCAATATATTCATCATTCAGTTTGTTTTAAGGAGGGAGGGGGAAGTATAACTTTTTGAATACTCTGATAGTCAGACCATATGTTCTGAAGTGATAAATATAATACTCTTATTGCTTTATCATATATTTTATATAGGTAATAAAAATAAGCCAAAGGGGTGGATATGACCACACCCTTACTCCCGTGAGAGTACGCTCTTACTCTGGTCATCATATTCTAAGTAATTACTTTAAAAACCACTCATTGGTCATGGGTATGATAAAGACACATGATATTCCATGTAGATTTTCTAAACTTAAAATGTTGGGACTCAATTCTAAGTAGACAGATAATAGTAATATCTACGTATACTATAGTTAAAGTATTATAATATCAATTTATTTTTATATAAACCAATCGTTCTTTAGGCAAATCCAAAAGATATACTTTACATAGGTACTTTATGTGTATAGCTCATTAATACATTGAACGAAGATTTTCTATTGATGTTGGATTGACCTCGGTGGTGTTCAGCAGCTGGTAAGTTGATTCAAGTTTTCCAAAATGTTGTTATTTGTGATATTTGGCAAAATCCAAAATTCATATCGATTAGAACGAATTTTTCTTCTTGAACATCTTAAATTTTAAAACCAAAACCATCATAACTCATAAAGTCATAATAATATAACTTATATAAGACATTTAAAATAGGTACCTTGAGAGATCGTGATTTCAACCATGAAATAATATTTTTGTTGGTACAATATAGTTTTGTTTTTTCCCAACCACGTCTGCACTGTTGCACATATTGATGATAACGATTGTTATGATACAATCTTTACAATCTTTAATCGTGAATGTGGATAATGTGATATAGGTATCTACAAGTTACGAGTTGCAAGTAAATAATAATTAATTATATTGAATAATAATAAAGAAATATTTGTTTTTAGTATTTCGTATTTACTCTTACTATTTACCATTAAGCGCCTGTTTTAATAATAAGTATCCAAGTTTTGAGTTAATTTACGAATGAATTTAGTTAAGCTTTTCAACGTATAATCGTTTTTCTATAATTTTTTATTATTATTATCAATACCATAATATTATTATATAGTAGTAGTACGAATTACAATTCATGAACGACGAAAATGGAGGTGTGAGTATTAAATTGCAATTGCTATTTTTTCGCATAATATTGTCCTTTGTTTCTTACTGATACATCATTTTCTTTTTTCATACAGAAAAAATCCACAAGTAGCGGTACTCTGTAATAACGAGGTAAATACTATTTGTACAATACTTACTACCAGTATTAGTTAATACGATGATTAATCAATGAGTTTACTAAAGTTTAACATAACAATTCAAAAAAAGTGTCTATGGTAATCAAAACGCTTTTATTTATAATATGATGTACTTACCTAATAATATTGTATTTCCTCTAAAATTGATCAGTTGGATAACATTTTAATAGTTAAGAGTTTTTCCACATTCTAATATAGTATTCTTGTTTTTCTCACAATCAACCAACTATTCAGTGTTATTATGTAACAACGACAGTCAGTACTCAGTTCATTTTTGGTTTATGCCAAGATTGTTAAAAAAATTTGTATTTTATCTACTTTTTGTACGTGTGTCTGAGAGAAATGACAAATATTGCGCTGAAATCTTTTTAAATAGTACATTGTTTTCTAAATGTAATATATATATATAACACATAAGTAATATGTATTGCGAATAAGTACAGTAAAAAGTTTATAAGTTAATTCATCAAGTATTGTTTCTACTTTGTCACATCTGTGATTTTCTAACAGTATTGTAGGTATATGTAATTTTATATATACTAGCGATCTTTGATCTATTGCCAGTTAATCTTTATAAATGATAAAAAGAACAGAAAAACGACTAAAATATTCAAATGTGAAATAATTTTTTAATGCTTTGTGTAAGAATATATTTATTATTATTTCAGGTTTATGAATTACTAAAAAAAACTCAAGAAAATACAAAACTCATTGGAGGCATGAACCATTCAACAATTTTATATGAGGTGCGACCAATTTTATTCTTTGATTTACTACTATCTTTGTTGGAAATATCATCAATTATTTGTTTTTTCACAGGTTAACAAATATTTAGAGCAAAGAGCGTGTGCAGAACAAAATAGTAATCAAATTAGAGAGTTCCTAATCAAATTAAAACGTATGCCAATTAATTTGACAAAAAAGGAAAAACTGATGTTAGTTAACGATCCGCCAGACTCAGTTTTACGATTATCTTTGGTATATATTTAATTCATTAATTGATTACTAAATAATATTTTTTTTTAATTCATAACTGTTAAACAAATTTTCTTGCTATCTACACAAGTTTGTAGAAATAATTTTTGTTTTTATAAACGTTTTCTATTTACAAGGAGGATCAAAAAATTATAATGATAATAGGTATTCTTATACACAACTATATTTCATTACATTTCTATTAAAATGTTATTTTGTGTTAAATTATCATTTAGCAAATAGCACCTGAAGTATTTTTTATATTATCTAATATCTACAGAATCTACTTTTAAAATGTGTAAAAGAATACATAGTTATATTAATATATTATATTATATTTTTGCTTTTTTTCACATTTTAACTTTTTTTTAATATCTTTATTGCCTCATAATCCAAATCTTATTTATAAAATATATTATATTTTTTTAGCTTTGATTAATTTTATCATTATATTTATTTATTTAAATTTTCAGGGTATCAAAGATTTCTATGACAGGCTCAGTGAAACCGAAACTGAAATGTTATTATGTGCTACAAAAAAGTTTTCTGGAGAGCTTAAGGTTGTTACTAAGCAAGAACTAATAGAAGAAGAAGAAGAAGAAGAGGAAGATAATTAATTAATGTTATTTTTTTTTTTTTAAATAGTTAAGAAAAATCAAGACTGTTATTAATTATACAATTTTGTGTGTCAAAATATTGTATTATTTGTGTCAATTTTTAAAGTTAAATTTGTTTTTGATACATTCAAGTGCTATCATGTTGCTTATAAGACTCGTGCTATATCTTAATAAAAAAAATATTAAGCAGTTATAAAATTGTTCACCAAGTGCTTGTATTATAATGTTTTATGAAATTTGGGTTTTATCACTTTCAATTTAACAAATAAAAATATATTCTGATTGTTTAAATTGTATTCCCATCATCTTTCATTTAATTTTACATGCTCCAAATATTTTGTTATTTAGACTCAAATTAGTTTGTATTTTTCATAGCTTGTTATATAACTGCTATTTTTTAAATAATTTTTTTTATCTGTTTATAAAATATCAAACATCAATGTAAATGTTGTTTGTTGATAAATCTTAACTAATAATAATGATGCAGTAACCCTTGAGTTTATTGTATAAAAATGTTACTTGTTTCATAGATTKTKGTGTAGTTATACATTATAGACCCTGTACCATTATAACAATATATAATTTTTACTGAAAATTTCAAGGAATGGTAATAATATCCAGATCAAACCTTATATTTTTATTTTAAAATCAAACCAAAAAATAATTATGGATCAAATATGTACTTAAATTATGGTGTTTGCTGGTTAGGTTAGGAAAAAACTTGTACTTTTTTTGTATCTCGCAATGTTCTCTATACCACCGAGAAATTTTAAGTTATGTTACTAATTATAATTTTTGTTTAGTTTGAAGTTAATTAAGGTCTATTAATGATAGGAAGGGCATGCTTTATATAACTTTTTAATTTTTGTTCATTTAATACCAACAAAAAAACTGTTAGCCAAGGAAAAATACATTTTATATGCATCTTTAAAGAATTTATCATTAATACAATATGAATAATGAGATATAATATAGATTTATACAATTTTATACAATAAAAGTTAACATGGATTAATTTTGATTTGATGTGTTCCATTATGTAATGTAAATGTTAATTATACAGTGAAAAAACATTCAAATATTTAATTTATACAAAACTATATATTTATTTGTACAGATAAATATTATTTACAGCTTTATATAGTATTATGTGATGTGGGGACATTTAATTTATTAAAAAATATATTAATATTATTATTAAGTTGCAAATGTATAACATATACATAAAAATATATAGTGTTGAGAATTATCACATAAATAATAAATAAATAAACTGTTGCTTTCATAATATTGTACAATTAATAACTCAATATATAATGTATAATTTATTAAATGTAGCAAACTTAAAATTAAAAGAAAATTAAATTTTTGTTTCCTACCGTTCAGTGCATTAAAATCTAATTCATAATTAATTATATTTTCATTGATAACATTGATAAATAGTATGTATTTTAGTAGTAGTAGACGAATTTTATGCATTTGCATGGTGATACTAAGCACATGCACWTATAAAATGGTTTGAAATGTCGGCGATTCAGACTTTATTGAATCCGTAGACCAATTTTAATTTTGCATATAAATGCATATTTGGTGGGTTGGTGCACTATAAACTTTGGGGTCATTTTTTAACAAAAAAAAAAAAAAAATAATAGGTACATATTTAACAATAAAAAGTTCAATCCATTTATTTAATTATAATAGACATTTTATTAGTTATTACTTATTAAAAATATCTTTTATTTATGGTAGCAAAGTATGGAATGGGAAGGGGCCCTTTAAATTTGGTGGCCCTGTGCTAGTGCACCGCCTGCACATGCGTAAATCWGAGCCTGGATACAATGTACATTATATTATTATAAACTACCGCTAGTTCGACCACAGAATAGATTAAATCTATTCTGTGGTTCGACTACGAAAAATTAACTTATTAGTTATTACTGTATCGTTTTAATAGCCGGCAACCGATAGCAGTAGGTAGGTAGTCTTAAACTGTTTGGTATTTAAAATTTAAAAATATATTTATTATTAATATACTAATATTATCAATTGATGTTCATGAGCCCCTAGCGGCCCGGCGGCCCATATATT